AGAGTGGGCACAGCCCGGCCTGGGAGCCCTGGGAGCCCTGGCTGCATGCAGTGCACAGGCAGCACACAGGCAGCAATACCTGGGCACCAACAAGACAGAGCAGATGGCATGTTCATCCAGGCACACGTGTACTGTGCACATGCACTCACTTGCACAGATGCTCAGTAGAACATACACATCTGCACACTCCCTTGCAAACACACATTCAGTCCCCCATCCCAAATATTTGGATACATGCTCAGTTTGTGGACATGCTCACATGTGCACTGCATTCCCTTGCCTTTTTTCCATGATCCTGTACTGGAAGTGGAGTGTTTCCTTTCTGGCTCTCAGGGCAGGTTGAATTACATGCAGAGCAGGGCTGCTCCTGCCTTTGACCCATGGACGGAACCAGGTCCCCCCACCGGATGCTCTCCCCACATGCAGCAAGCTGGAGGGAGTCCCAGGCTGCATCACTGAGAGGCACTGCCCCAGGTGCCAGGCCAGGGGAGGCTGTTAAAACCTCTGTGTCACTACCACCTCCCAGCAGCCACACCACAGTTGCACACATGCAGGAAAGGGAAACTGAGGCATGATGCTGAATTCCTCCTTCCCTGCCAGATCCACAGAGCCAGGATCAGGGCTGTGGCACAGCACAAAACTGAGAAGGCTGAAGAGTTGTGGCATAAAGGGTGAATTGCTCTCTAACCCACCTTCCTTTCCAGGCTGGGGAGTGGGGTCTGCCCAAAGGGATTAAATACCTCTGCACTGGCCAGCACCCTACGGCTACCACCATGAACCCCCGTTTCACCTCCAGCTTAGCAAGAGCATCCAATCTGCCACCTGCCTCGCACACAGATGCATGCCCCCGCCGCACGCTCTGGCCCATCAGATCTAGGCCAGGGGTCAGCGCGGAGCTGTGAGTTGTTCTTGCACCCATTGCATAAGTGTGTTGTTGATTAAGCAGTTCCCAGAAAGCAAAGCCCAGGGACCGGCCTGACCAAAATACCCCCCCGGATCCCCCCAGCCCCAGCACTTGCTGCACACATGGCTTCTGGGCCTCTGACCTCGTGTCCGGTGGGGCAAGCGTGGCACCTGACAACCTGACCTAGAGGTGCCAATGGACTGGGTGAAGCAGGGACCCCCACCCCCCCCAAGAGTTCACACACCAGCACCTGAGCATGGCTCCTGCCGGAACACCCATTTCTGTATGGCTTTGCCACCGATGTCAGCCAAGCAAGTGCCAAGGCCAGCTGTGACCCTCACCCAGGGGCCATGGCATCGTCCTGGCTCTGGCACGGGAAAGCTTCCTCCCTACAGGCCCCTCTTCCCGAGGCTGCAGGCTGGAGGAGCGCCCAGGCTGGGGGCTCGGGGGGGACAGCCGCCGGGGCTGGCGGGCAGCAAGTGCTGGAGCAGGCACCGACGGCTCTCGCTGGGGCAGCGCCGGGGTGGGTGGGCGGCCCGTGCCCCCGGGTCCGACGGG